ATCGTAGATTAAGTATATATTTATATGATTTTCTAGTATAGAACTTGTGGCTTTGTTCGTGTGCGTTAAGTTGGCAGCAGAGTTATTATAAAATATCAAGTTTATGTCATTCTTATATCCTTCTTTTTGAAGGGTTCCAAGAATCTAGTGTTTCCGCTCGTTTAACAAAAACTCTTTGAACAAACTATAACCACAGCTTGAGTCGTTTATCAGTAGCACATATGACAACAAACTGAACTGTTTTCACGGTAGTTTGTATCGACATCCTTTGCAAAAATCAGAAGTGCATTTAAACATCAGGTCAAACGGCAAATAAATGTACAAAAACAAATAGAAGCTCTTCCATGAAAAACGGTCTCGACACGTCACTCTCTTGATATATATTTGCACTATACAAATAGAGCTCTTCAGCTCTTCTATGAAAAACGGTCTCGACACGTCACTCTCTTGATATATATTTGCACTATACAAATAGAAGCTTTTCCATGAAAAACGGTCTCGACATGTCACTCTCTTGATATGTACAGTATTTGCACTATACAAATAGAAGCTCTTCCATGAAAAACGGTCTCGACACGTCACTCTCTTGATATATATTTGCACTATACAAATAGAAGCTCTTCCATGAAAAACGGTCTCGACACGTCACTTTCTTGATATATATTTGCACTATACAAATAGAAGCTCTTCCATGAAAAACGGTCTCGACACGTCACTTTCTTGATATATATTTGCACTTTTCCTTGATCTACAGCATGTTATTCTCAGCCCATTAAACCACGAACAATTAAAGTATTTGAATAAGTGTGCATTGGAGAAACTATTTATGAAATGGTCGTTCATCACGTAGACAGTAAAATATTTCCAATTTTCCATTATAGGCACACTTTATTTATGATAATAAATTTCTGTCTAATACCGGTGAACTGTTCAGCTATTAGTAATCAACATGCAACCCAATCTATACCTCGAGCACCCCAGTTGCACAGTGGTATGTCTGCGGACTTACAACGCTAGAAACCGGGTTTCGATACCCGTGGTGGGCAGAGCACAGGTAGCCCTTGTGTATCTTTGTGCATAATTAAAAACAAACTATACTTCGAGTCACCTCTCCTCACTGAGTTATACCGATGTCGAGGAATTTCACCTATCATCAGTATTAATTTTTAGTATTTCAAACATAATAATAAATTAGTAGCATCAATGGTACATATTCTTCAAATCATACAGTAATATAAGTTCACTGTGGTGAGCAAAAAACCACTCATATCACCATACATAAAGTATCTGCAGTTGTCTCCCACCAGAGGCAGGACGTTGAAAAAACTGCATCCACCAGAAACATGAACGTGGTAAAAACTAGATCCACCAGAGACAGGAACGTGGTCAAAACTAGATCCAACAGAGACAGGAACGTGGTAAAACTGGATCCATCAGAGACAGGAACGTGGTAAAAACTACATCCACCAGAGACAGGAACGTGGTAAAAACTAGATCCATCAGAGACATTCATCAGTAATTCCGTATAACTTTGTATAACTAAAGTTGAACATAAAATAATAATGGTCAATATAAAACGCCACTACAACCAGGGTCAAATAAATACAATTTATTAAAATATAACAGAAATCCAAAAATATACTTTCAAACAAATTAGAGTAAAAATTTTATCATTTACAAAAGAAAAAAAAGGGAATTTGTAAACCCGTGCCTGGCGAGGACTAGGTTCAGACGTTAATAAACAATACAACATAAATCTCAATGTGACTAATGTTATTAACTATCAAAGGAATTGGGAAAAAGAACTTAGTTCACCAGAGGATAACCCACTTCGAAATATCCAGAACAATATCGAGCAATAATTATTTTTAACTATATCTCGTGAAATAACTCGTTTTCAACATAGAGGAAAGCATTGTATTTAGTGGCTAGACATCGAAGTTACATCTAATGTGGCTAGCTATTACCAAAAATCTACATGATCTTTTACAACATTAATATCTCTACATCACCGCTAGGGGAACTGGTGTCACTTTCATAACAAGCATAAGAGAAACAAATTATCGCTAAAAAAACTGTGTATAGCTGGCTACTGAACTTGACAAAAGGAACTAAATAAGATAAAGATTGAAATGGACATATCACTTGAACCAGTTAATGCTCATATACCAGAAAAATAAGCTGTCTCAACTTCAACTGGAGAATAAAATCCCTACATTACTGCCTTCCCTACTTTGTCTATCAAAAACTTGGTGTTAGAGCAGAATTTCAGCTTTCATCATTATACCTTTCCTTTAGTTAACTTTAGAATACTACTTTTACGACGATTTTAAAATGGAGTAACATTTTACAGTTGAAAATGCTGGTTCTATTTGTTTTGCCAGTGAGGGAGCCAGTGATGTATGGATTTTATTCTCAATGTAACGTAGAGATGGCTTAGTTTGCTATATGAATATTAGCCGGATCAAGTGATATGTCCACTTCCATCCCTATCTTGTTTGGTTCCTTTTTTTTAAGTTCAGTAGCCAGCCCTACATAGCTTTTGTATTTAGCGATGATTTTTTTCTCTAATACTTGTTTGTCTACTTTTTTCTTTTTATAAAATTACATACGTGGGTTACTAGGTAGCTCTTCATGTCTAGCTTCTGAAGAAAAGAAAATCCAGATGACTTTTGCAATGGGCAGCACCCTTAGAGCTAATTGTTGGAGTTTCAATTATACTGCTGATCACACCAACTTTATTGAATGGAGGATTGCAGTGGAAAGTGGAGCTCACAAGTCGCTAACTCGAGGTAATTTACAGTTAGAATAAAGAAACTGAGACTCATACATCAAATTTCTTTAAGTTTCTCAACATAAAATACATTTATTTAATCATTAATCATTGACTTTTCATTATAGGACATGTTTAGGTTAACAACACTATTACTTATATCTCGCACATAACACCAACTTTTTATATGTTTCTTTAGAGTCCGTCCAATTCACATTAATTGATTAAGGGAGAAATAGTTTCATTACTTACAACATAGTTGATCTGGTAAATCTTCTCAGTTGAGAAACCTTCATAACTACTGGCTTATCAGTGACTCTGGGGAGAATCTCGATTCTTTCGGAAGAGAACTGATTTTTAGCTCCAGACACGAGTTTTTAAATCATGTTTTCTTTTTATTCTTTCGCACTTCCAAATAGCATTCTTAGCTACCCGCAAGTAGTTCTAACACTTTATTGGTCAATTTGTGCAACTTCTTGAGCTAATCCAAATCAAGAACCAAAACTCTCAAGTAACTGGTTGCTGTGATGGTCAGTGCTCCCGTTGTCATTTCACTTATACTATTACACTGGTCTGGAGTAACAGATCTCGCATCAAAGTGACAATTTAAGATGTTATCATAAACATTTTAGCAGCCTTTACTGTACTACTAACTCGGCGTCGGTAATCTATCATTGTCAGTCTTATGGCTAGCGTCTTTCTCAACACCTCTGTTGTAGGTCAATTTCTTACAACTCCTAACAAGTGATTTTCAATACCTCTTAACCAGCTAGCTGTACTTTCCTAGCTGTTGACCTTATTTCATAATACGGACGTCTTTACTTACGCTGTTTCTTCTTTTACAAAACCTCAGAAAATCATTATAACTTCTTTCCTAAATTATTTTAAAACACTAAAAATACTGAAGCAATTGTAAAATTCCTCAAACATATCCAATTGCTTCAATCCTCCCTCCTTAGAAAAAATTTGTTACCTGCAACAACATGTTATTAGTCAACCAGTTGTTTCCATCTCTCTCTCTTCCTCAACCAACGTTTACATTGCTACTAAATCCATTTTACAATTAATTTTCGATATTTAATACAGTACCAAAGTTAATATCTACAAAAGTACAACTTTGAATATTGATTGGATAATATACAGATTATCAAGATTATATGAAAGTTCATAAAAATATAATAAAATGATTCATAATCCTATTAATTATCAATACATATAACCATTTAACTATTAATTAGTCTTGCTTACATTTAGAATTCATAACAGAAATGATGGAAAGTCAGTTTCTCATCATTTATAACCCACGCATACAATGTGCACACCTTCCATTTTTTGCAAT